AAAGACGTTATGAAAAAAGCAGTCAAACATTGAGTTCATTTCAAAAAACTTTTCTCACAATAAAAGTAGAGAAAAGTCCAAACATTATATGGAGTGTAAGTTCACTGAGAGAGAGAGAGAGAGAGAGAGAGAGAAATGTTGACTCAATTTTCTATCATTATTATTACAAATGTATGCAATTTTTCCTAATATTTACCGAAAAATTATTCATTCTTACGAATAAATTATTATTAATTCATGAAATATTTGATTATAATTTCCCCCAATTTATACTCAATTACACAGACTTTTTTTTATACAAAACTTTTTAAAGTACAATACATTTACATTTTTGGTAAATTTATTAAAGTTTTTTACATTTAAAAGCGAAATAATTTAAATAATAAAATTTAAATCACAGACATATATGAATTATTGCCAATAAATAAACACATGTTATGTATAAAAAATGTTGATTTAATTTTAATATCCACCAAAAATTTGTATTTAGTGTTCAGTATATTTATATTTTACTCCAATTCCTTGACTTTTATGGTTTACAATAATTAATAAAATAACTCACAATTGAGAACTGAATTTAAAGATTCAAACAAGAGATTTAAGGCCAATAAACAGTACAATCCGTGTCTTCATTAGGCAAATACCAAAAAAGTTTTTGCAAGTTTTAAAGATTGTATTATTATTGCTATTATTAATGAATGAATGAATTGTTTAAAAATTGAGCGATAAATCATTGAAATAACCCTTTATTGCCCATTGAATGGTGTGATAATGAAAACCATACAACAAATGGCACAAAACTAATCGTTGTAAGTTTGCGTTCAAAAGTACAGTAAATTACATGCAATTTGCGGCAATGAAATTGTCTGTTGAGATGAAAAGTATTGTCAAAAACGACTCAATAATAACTATACTGTATCTCAAGGAGACTAACAGACCATTTGTCACGAAATTTTTTAACTTTTCATTCATTTCGATCACTCGATTGTTCACATTATTGGCAATCGAAGGGCAATATTGTTGTTAATTATTATTTCACATTAATTATTGCCTTTGAATTAATTATCATTAAGACGTTTAAAATGTGATTAAATATAGCAATGTTTTAGGAAAACTTTGATTTTCTTGTTTTTTCTTTCTATTCCGGTCTTGAAATTAGTAATGAAGTGACGAAAAAAGGTTTTTGCATAAAAATTACACTTTTAATCCCAATAATGTCTTCACTATTTTTATCACTCGATTTTTAGTGTTAAATATTTGCCAACACTTTTATATTCTCTTTTATAGTTCTGTAGTTTTTCTCAATTGTTTGGTTCAAATGATGTAATTGTTTAGTAATTAGTAAATAATTGAAAATTTTTGCGTCATATAACCTATTGTTTGTCTGGTATTTGAATTGTTTCAATAAAATTCAATGAAATATAAAAGGATTATTTCAGCTTCAATTCAATGGTACACATGACAGAGGTGTCCAAAGGGGGGCCCGACAACTATATATTTAACATGATCACTTCACGTGGAATAAATATAGTTTTTAATTTATTTATAATGTATTTAATATTAAATTTTTTCATTAAAATAATTGGCAGAATTCACATAAAATTGTTAAATTTTATAATTAAATTATATTTTGTTAGAAGTATTTAAAAGATTGCATATTAGCTGCACATGACTTGAATATTGCAAATGTTTCTCAAAATATTTATTTAAAAATTTTAAGGAATAAAATAAACTCAAAAATATTTTAAGCTGATTTTCACTCGAGATTAAAATAATTATGCAATAATTGCCAATAAAATAAACTTTTTATATTTTAAAATAAGTGCATTTATTAAACATTGAAAGTATTTTCAATTAAAAATTCAAAAATACATTTATATTGTCGTATAAATCAATCGATATTATAGACTACTGAATAGATGTTTACACTAATTATATATGCATTTATTTTAACTGATATTCTTTAAATATACTAAAGTATAAATAAAACAAAACATTCAATACTGTAGTCAACGTAAGCTCTTTAACGGTAATTAGTTTTGCAAAACTATATTTAAAGTTTTGTGATTACGGGGAAAATGTTCAATTTTGAAAGTTGTTTGTAAATGTTATATAACTATTTTGGGTTTAAGTTTTTCGTTTAATTAAAATTTTTAATACAATATTCATATAAATACAAACTAAATGTGCTGGAGATGTGTTGAATTGTTTTTTCATTTGTAAAAAATCAATTAAATTATTTGCTGAAGGAATTAAATGACGTTTAAATAGACATTAAACGCAACATTTAAGTTATAGTCGATATCCTGTTTAATAGTATAATGTGTTCAACAAATGAACGAAATCCCGACTTTTCGAGGCCTTGAGTCTCGTTTTAAGCGATTTATTTCCAATAAATAACAATAAAATGTTTTGTTTCGTTTCATTGCAAATATACTGCAAAAAAACCAATTTTATTAGAAATTCAATGTTTGGACAGTATATTAAGGTATCGGATATGAAGGCATCACTGAATTTGTAATGTCCCTGAATTTAGCACTTTATCTACACTTCTTCTGTGCGATTAGGAAACCCCAAGAATACTGAATACTAACTAAATACTGAATACTGTTGCTTCTTATCATATGATGTATTCCTTTATATACAGTATATTTCAAAAGTGAAAGTAATTGCGAGAACTAATAGTACAGTACAAATAACTCATGCTACATAAGTACTGATGACTTATTCTGTATTTCCAGACAAAATCGTGATCAACGCATCTCCTAATATGCATTATCTCTCAACACATTTCAATGCACTTCAATATTGCATTCATTCGCCAATTAAATTAATTGATTTATAATATAACTACTATTTTGATATAAAAATTAATCATTTTTACAAATAAAAGTACAATCATTTTATTTTTAAATACTTGTACTTTAATTGTACTTAAAATATATGGAAATTTCTGATAAATTAAATAATACATTGTTTCAAATTTACAATAGTTTCGTGCGATATGTACAGAATTTTGTAATTTTTAATTTTTTAATTATTATAAGTGATTGTATTTTATAAATAAAATGTAATAAAATCAAATGACATTGAAATGACAATAATTATAACAATTTCTATAGTTTGCAATTATAGCTATTCAATACTTTTCAACATTACGGCAGTCTATTGTACAGAGAGTTAACCATTTGGAAAGAGGTTTAGATCTTATGATTTATAATGATTCTTATGACTGTATGGCTAAATATAACTTACAGTATATTATATTATATAATAGCATATTGTAAAACTTAATTAAATATTTGACAAAAATGCATTTTTATATTAGCTTGGTTTATGATTTAAACGAGATTTTTGTACTTACAGTTAAATTTATTAAAATTATATTTAAAGCATTTTATTAAAACTTTTAACATACGTTACTATTTATATGTCAAAAGTTTTAATAAAATGCTTTTAATATAATTTAAATAAATATAACTGTAAGTACAAGAAACTAATATTTAAATTGTAAACCAAGAATTGACACAATTATAGATTATAAAACTATAGATAATTTGCATGTTTTGCCATTTATTGAGATTAAATTTGATTGCATATACAGTACTGTAGTGTTTGATCGGTTATGCGATATAAGGCCATCACAGCTCAGGATATCCCACAATCTTAAGTATTGACAATTGAATTGTGATGTGATTTGAAAAATGTTATTAAATGTAATAGTTTTGAAAGTCATTGTGTGCTGTAATGCATGAATAATTTGAAAATGAGGGCCAATTCTGTCATAATCCGCATGAAATCACTTTTCAATTCTTGTTTCCCACAAATTCTTCTAATAATACCCACAAAAGTTGCAAAACTTATTATAATGTACTGTAAATTAAATCAATGAAAATATCTAAAAAACATCATATTTTTGGCCAAAAAATTCACTGAATAAATGATAAATTCATGAAAAATACGATAAAATTACATATAATTTGCAAATCAAGTGATCAATGAATACATGAATATATTTATGAGATTTTGTTCACAGAATATGATTCAAAAATTATGTGTCAACCAAAGCGGTGGCCCTAAACACGCATTACTTAATGCGCTTCCAATAGATTACAATAGAAAACACGAGTGAATGCATTGTATGGCTTCGCAGACAAACACCGATTGCAATGCAATGCAGTGTTGAGTTCTCCATACGATCTAAACGTCAATAATAGTCAACAAAACACACAAAACAACACAACTTTCGGTCAGTTTTACGAGTGATTTATTGTATGGAAATGTTTGACACATTTTAATCACTACTAATTGTCTTATCATTGAATCAAAAAACAATCATTTGTTACATAAATAGGCGTCAAAATAGGTGTGAAAATCGGTGTCCATATCGTAGACACACATCGCATATGATTTGCGATTTTATATGACATTTGAAGCAATTGTGTTGTGATTGTGGACACAATCGGTGATAATGACAGTCATAGGTCTGTCGAATCAGCTAATAGTTCCCATCACTCTTTGGGGCTCACAATCGCCCACACATTGCATATCGTGTGTGCTTTTGACCAACGATTACAAGACAGTAGTGACGGGTTGTAATGACGGACAGATCTGTCTTTGGGACTGCCATTCGGCCACTCTTTCCGTAAGACATAACAGTATTACTAGTATTTGTGCCATTCATTCACTAAATATCTCTTTCACTGCGGATCAGTTGACTCCAAGAAGTCTGCTCTTCGGCCACTCCTCACCAGTTCTTTGTTTGGCGAACGGAAAGCAAACAAATGACAATTCATTACTCGTCAGCTCATCGGAAGCCGGGTTTGTTTTACAGTTAAATTTATTAAAATTATATTTAAAGCATTTTATTAAAACTTTTAACATACGTTACTATTTATATGTCAAAAGTTTTAATAAAATGCTTTTAATATAATTTAAATAAATATAACTGTAAGCACAAGAAACTAATATTTAAATCGTAAACCAAGAATTGACACAATCATAGATTACAAAACTATAGATAATTTGCATGTTTTGCCATTTATTGAGATTAAATTTGATCGCATATACAGTACTGTAGTGTTTGATCGGTTATGCGATATAAGGCCATCACAGCTCAGGATATCCCACAATCTTAAGTACTGACAATTGAATTGTGATGTGATTTGAAAAATGTTATTAAATGTAATGGTTTTGAAAGTCATTGTGTGTTGTAATGCATGATATAATTTGAAAATGAGGGCCAATTCTGTCATAATCCACATGAAATCACTTTTCAATTCTTGTTTCCCATAAATTCTTCTAATAATACCCACAAAAGTTGCAAAACTTATTATAATGTACTGTAAATTAAATCAATGAAAATATCTAAAAAACATCATATTTTTGGCCAAAAAATTCATTGAATAAATGATAAATTCATGAAAAATACGATAAAATTACATATAATTTGCAAATCAAGTGATCAATGAATACATGAATATATTTATGAGATTTTGTTCACAGAATATGATTCAAAAATTATGTGTCAACCAAAGCGGTGGCCCTAAACACGCATTACTTAATGCGCTTCCAATAGATTACAATAGAAAAGACGATTGAATGCATTGTATGGCTTCGCAGACAAACACCGATTGCAATGCAGTGTTGAGTTCCATACGATCTAAACGTCAATAATAGTCAACAAAACACACAAAACAACACAACTTTCGGTCAGTTTTACGAGTGATTTATTGTATGCAAATGTTTGACACATTTTAATCACTACTAGTCTTATCATTGAATCAAAAAACAATCATTTGTTACATAAATAGGCGTCAAAATAGGTGTGAAAATCGGTGTCCATATCGTAGACACACATCGCATATGATTTGGGCTTTTATATGACATTTGAAGCAATTGTGTTGTGATTGTGGACACAATCGTTGATAATGACAGTCATAGGTCTGTCGAATCAGCTAATAGTTCCCATAACTCTTTGGGGCTCACAATCGCCCACACATTGCATATCGTGTGTGCTTTTGACCAACGATTACAAGACAGTAGTGACGGGTTGTAATGACGGACAGATCTGTCTTTGGGACTGCCATTCCGCCACTCTTTCCGTAAGACATAACAGTATTACTAGTATTTGTGCCATTCATTCACTAAATATCTCTCTCACTGCGGATCAGTTGACTCCAAGAAGTCTGCTCTTCGGCCACTCCTCACCAGTTCTTTGTTTGGCGAACGGAAAGCAAACAAATGACAATTCATTACTCGTCAGCTCATCGGAAGCCGGGTTTGT